GTGAACGGTCCGGAGTGGATGTAACTTCCCAAGAGTGCACCCGTCGGGAGGTCTGCGGTCTGCTCTCAAAATCTGACGACCCCAACCGGTCCGGTGGGGACGAATTCTGCCCCTCGGGGCTCTTACCTGGCCCTTGCGACCGCCAAAAACAGCTCGCGATGGGAAACCGGGCATGACCTGCTCAGCGAATGACCTCACGAGGGTTGCGGAAGCCATCCCGCGCCGCGCGCCCCGCAGGGGGGCGGGGACAGGGGTCCCCTCGGACCCCAGACGTCCAGCGTCTCGAAAAAATCAAGACGGAGGTTTTTGCGGGCCCCAGGAATATGCACCACCACCACATCGAACCTTCCTCCCTCCTCTACCCTCTTCTTCCTCTCCTCTTTCCTGGTAGATGGAGGGGGTGAGGGAGGTGGTGGTGGTGGTGTATATTTTTGGGCCCCGTGGTTTTGCTCATAGCTTTCGGCCCCTCGGGGCTCTCACTGGGCCGCCGGGACCGCCAAATTATCAAACGACGCGCGAGGGGAGAAGCCGGCCCCGGGGAAGCAGGTGCTCGAGAGGGTCGGGGGTCCGCGTCTCGAGACAGAGTCGAGACGGCGGATGTTTGGGCCCAGCGCGTGGAAAATGTCAAATCGTCACCGTCATCGGGGTGAAACCCAGGCCCCCTCGAGTTGCGAAGAGATCACGACAGAAGGTTTTTGCTAGTTTTGCCGGCCTCCGGGGGCCCTTACGGGGCCTCGGGACTGTCAAAGAATGGTGCCGGATGAGAAGCCGGTCCCGGGGAATGGGTCCGGACCCCTGGGGGCCGCGTCATGAAAAAACAATGGCGTTGGGGGTCTGGCAAGGCCTGTCTGGGGAAGGGGTCGGGACTTCGGTGGGCGCCGCGCTCGAGCCAGACAAGACGTCGCGTCGCGGGGCCCCGGTGCGGTGTTGCCCTTTTTCCGGGCCCCGGGACCGCCGCAGGCCGATCCGGCTCGAAAGGCAGTAGCGCGGAAATCATGTTCTGCGCTACCCTTCGAGCCACTCAAGTGGGTCGAGGGCTCCGGTTCCATCCCGCCCTCCACGAAGAAAAAGACAATAGGCGTCAGTGGTCGGAGCTCCACCCGGATTTTCTGGATCGTTTCCGCTATAGGCTTATGTCGGGCCTGTCCCCCTACAGGGGGGCCTTTCGGCGAAAAATGAAGAGTACCCCCAAAAAAGTCAAAACATAGTCCAACAATAGTCTGGGGACTATTTTTTGAGCATCTTTTTGGCCTTTCTGGAGTATGTTTTGGGGTATTTCCTATCATTCGTCGAAAATCCCCCTGTAGGGGGACACGCCCGACATAACGCTACAAGCACCCCGGGCGGCGCCCAGCGCGCCGACCCGAGAAGTCCGCGGCGGCCCTCGGGAGTGCACGGTTGTGCCGTGTGATGCGCCTCCTCGGTCGGATCGAGGTCTCGGATCGAGGTCGGTTCGGGCCCAGACCCCGTCGAGTAATGGAAAAATCATGACGGAAGGTTTCTTCTTAATTTTCGGCCTCCGGGGGCCCTCACCGGGCCTCGGGGGCGTCAAAAAACGACTCAGGATGCAAAGCCGGTCATGGGGAAAGGGTCGGGACCTCTGGGGGGTCGACGTAATGAAAAAATAATTACGTCGGGGGTCTGGGGGGAGGATGCCCTCCTGTTTTTCTTTCCTGCGGGGTGTTCCCGTGCACTCTGGGGGAGGGCACCCTCGAGTGGTCTGATGGTTTGGGGTGTTTGGGCCAGCGGAGGGCCCCACGTTCTCGCGGGATGGTCTTCTGTCCTTGTTCGGGCTCTGGTCTTCGGTGGCAAACCATGGGAGCCTGGTAGACCCTCCGAATTCCGTCGTCTGCGTCGATCAGTGCTTGGGACTCGATGAGAGGTAGCGCCGGCTTAGCGTCGATTTGGCGTCGATTTGGCGTCGACGAGCGTCGATTTGGCGTCGACGAGCGTCGACCCGCAAGACCCGGCAAGATGTGATGGGAGGCTCCCAGGGGTTGCCACCGATCTGTTCCAGCCCGGTCGTCTTCGCGGCCCGGGGCCACCACAGAGATTGGCCATGCATGTAGGGCGAGAGGTTTCCCCGGCGGGAAGCGGTCGGGGCAACTCAAGCCTCGACCCAGGAGCAGGAGGGAGAAGAGGAGGAGGAGGAGGAGGAGGAGGAGGAGGAGGAGGAGGAGGGAGGAGGAGGAGGAGGAGGAGGAGGATGGGAGGTGGATGCCTTCTCGCCCTCCCGTTCTCGTGCCGCGGCTCGCCCTCCTTCTCTCCCTGGGAAGAGCTGCTCGCGTGTCCGCGCCGCTGGACAATTCGGACGGCTCGCGGGCTCCGCTTCATCCATCTGTGTGGGCTCCAGTGACTTGCTGGGTTTCTCCTGCACGATTTTGTTGACGGACGGTCCTGGGGCCTGGCGAGGGCCCCCAGGAGCCGAACACCGCCACCCCCGTCGTATTTCGTTCACAGCGCACTGGCGTGTGGGTTTTGCTGATGGGAGAAATCACGGCAATAAAAAAATCACGACAGGAGCCTCATAGACGATCTTTCTGTAGCATTTTTCTAGCCCGATCGGTCCGTGATGGTCCCAGGGCCCGAGCTAGGGCGAGATCGACGGCTTTATCTCAGGGCTGGAGCGAGGAATCGCCCTGGCGGGAAGCGGTCGGAAGTTCTGCTCAGTATCGTTTCACCGATTCCCCATCCACACTGGGCCATGGGATTTCACAGCTCTACCACCCCACCACCCCAGTCGCGGATGGGCCCCTCGGACTCCGAAGAGAAGCGCCGATTTCCCAATCTTGGGGGGTAGATCGGCCAGTGTCATGGCGCCACCATCGCAGAGCGGATTCCGTTGGGGAAACCAATTGGATGGGTCCGGGCTGTCCTAGAGAATGTGTTCCGGATTTCGAAGTAAATTTCGCGCGGGTTGTTTTTGGCCAGGAATGAAGATTGCAAAGAGTCCACGTGAAATGCATTTCGTTCTTCGCCCGCCGTTTCGGGGTCTTGCATGGACAGAAGTCCACGGATAAAGTCCGTTGCAGCACGTCTGCAAGGCCGGTGCAGTGACCAGTGGGGCCCAGGCCGCGCCAGTGGGGAGAGGGATCGGTTCAACGATGCTCATCTGAGGCGTTCCAAAAAAGGGCCTTGCCTGCGAGGATCGAAGGAGTCGTCATCTCTTCCGCCGCTGAAGGCGGCGGAAGGGCAGCGGCAGGTCGGCGGAAGTAAAACGAGGCCGCCTCCGCCAGCGGAAGCCGGCGCAAGGGCGGCAGAAGGCCGCGGAGGCAAATGCGTCCCCAGGCCCCCGACGTAATTTTTTTCATTACGTCGACCCCCAGAGGTCCCGACCCTTTCCCCATGGCCGGCTTTGCATCCTGAGTCGTTTTCTGACGCTCCCGAGGCCCGGCGAGGGCCCCCGGAGGCCGAAACTTGGGAAGGACCTCCCGTCGTAATTTTGTTCCCTGCTCGAGGGGGTCTGGGCCCCCAAGGGAGGCACACGTGTTCTGGCTCGGGGTTCCCGCAATCGCCCGCCTGCTGCTGGGAAGCGAGGTCTCTAGAAACGGGGGCAGCGCCACATCCAGCAGGAGGAGAAAGAGGAGGAGGAGGAGGAGGAGGACGAGGAGGAGGAGGAGGAGGAGGAGGCGAAAGGGAGAGGAGGAGAAGGAGGAGGAGGAGAGGACGAGGAGGAGGAGGAGGAGGAGGAGGAGGGGGGGGGGAGGAGGAGGAGGAGGAGGAGGAGGAGGAGGAGGAGGAGGAGGCGAAAGAGAGGAGGAGGAGGACGACAAGGACGAGGAGGAGGAGGCGGAGGCAGCGCCGCCGTGGAGCCGCCCTCGCGCCGCGGCGCGCGCGGCCGCGCGCGGGCGCGGCGGCGCGGCTGCGAAAGGCCCCCTGCCTCCTCCCCCCTCCTCCTCCCCCTCCTCCTCCTCCCTCCTCCCTCCTCCTCCTCCTCCTCCTCCTCCTCCTCCTCCTCCTCCTCCTCCTCCTCCTCCTCCTCCTCCTCCTCCTCCCCCTCCCCCTCCCCCTCCTCCTCCTCCTCCTCCTCGTCCTCCTCCTCTTCCTCCTCCTCCTCCTGGCGAAGCGTCCTGGCTCGCCTGTAGCCCCACCAAAGGATGTACCAAGAACCTTCCGTGGTCAGAACGGAGTGTGCTCGGAGCGTGTTTGATGGAGACTGCCTTGGCTTAATTACCACATCGGGCTGATGTTCTAAGAGCACTGCTTTTGTTCTCAGAACGTTCTGGGGTTCTAGGAACGTTTCGTGGTAGGACTACAGGAATGCCGGGACGGTCGGTCGCTGCTCAATGCAAGCTTGGTGTTTGTAAACGGTGTGGTGGCTAAGGGTGCGAGGCGATGCCCCCCGCCCAGAGTTAATGATGATGTATCGATGGTGTTGTCGTCCCGATTTTGTCACGCACCAGTAGGAGGTAAATGCCCCGTCACCCTGAACTCGCTCGTAGAGGCCCCTGATCTACCGCCCCGTTTACTAACACCCTGTTTACACCACCCCGTTAATTAACACCCCACTCTCTCCCTCTCTGAAAGGGAGAGAAAGAGACGACGACGACGAGGACGACGACGACGACGACGACGAGGACGACGACGACGAGGACGACGACGACGACGACGGCGACGGCGACGGCGACGGCGACGGCGACGGCGACGGCGACGAGGACGACGATGACGACGATGATCCGACGATGATCCGACCCGCCGATGTGCTGACCATCTGGCGGGTGTGGCGCGGTGTTGTGGGCGGGACGATTCGACCTCGCCCACTGCTTGTGCTGCTTGGCCCGCCACTGTCCTCTCCTCCCAGACCCCCTCGAGTAATGAAAAAATCACGACGGAAGGTTGTCCTTCATTTTCGGCCTTTGGAGGCCTTAACCGGCCCTCGGGACTGTCAAAAAACGACTCAGGATGCAGAGCCGGTCCCGGGGAAAGGGTCGGGACCTCTGGGGGTCGACGTAATGAAAAAATCATGACGTCGGGGGTCTGGGTTTCTGGGGCCAGCGAGAGAGAGACCCGCCGCCGTCGCCACCACCGGAGAGGGAGAGAGAGAGAGGGAGAGAACTTCAGGAGCCTCCGGAGGTCGCCGCCGTCGCCGCCACCTTCTCATCCTGCAGCCGCTTGGGTCCCCGGAGGCCTCTGAGTCCGCAGGGGTCTCGAGGGGTCTCTGGAGGTCGTCGCTGTCGTCCTCGCCGCCACTGTCGTCGTCGGCGTCGTCTCCCTCGTCGTCGTCGTCGTCGTCGCCGATCGGGGGTCGAGGATCAGCTGCGACTCCAGAAGCCTCAAAGGGGCCCGGCAGGAGGGGCCTCGGAGGCCGCCGCCGTCGCCGTCTCCACCACCTTCTCGTCCCTGGGCTTCTTCTTTTTGGGGGGGGGACTTGTGGGCGACGATCAATGGAGAGGACGCATGTTGCCAAATAATCCCCAGATGCCTAAAACAGGCTTAAACCTTGTTTAAACATGCTCACCACATGTTCCGACATGTTGCAGTCAATGTTTGATTCAACGATCGGATTGCTAGGGTGCCCATCGTCATGGCATCCGCAATGGTTGACGGCCCCAGAGGTCGAAAGCTGACCCCTGAAGGCAGAGCAAAGGGCAGAAATTCCGTCGCGATGTTTTGAGGAGGCCTTGGCATGCGTTGGCGACCTTGCGATCTGGGCGTTGCATTTGTTTCACGCCTGGCTTTTTTGTCCAGTTTCAAGCCTGGGGACCCTGAAGGATCGATCCAGCTCAAAGTTCGCCGCAGGAATGTAGGGTTCAGGGTTGCGGTGGTGGTTTCTCGTAATGTGTCGTTTTGTTTGGCAGCGTCGGATGCCAACGGAAGGAGAATGATATTGCACATTCCGGAATTGGTTCGAATCTTGAGCTCGAGTTGGTTGCGCGCCCCGCACGTCTCGACTGTCACCGTCTCTGGGCTAGTCATACGGTCAGGCAGCTCGAGCTATCTAGCAATCAAGGTCGGTCCAGGCAGGATTCGGACGCCAAGGGCGACTTTGTCTACAACGCAAGAGAGCACTTCACAGCTCAGTACAGCATGACACAGTACAGTGCAGCAACGCACGGCGCATCGCAGCGCAGCACAGTACGGCCCCTGGACAGGTACTCGAACGGCCTTCGGCCCATCCCGCCATCGTACCTGGGTTGTGGGTCGTAGGCTTACAAGATGTTCGCTGGGATGTCACGGAAGGCCTCTCGGGGGGGCGTTTGGGGGCCGTTTTCAGGCATTTGGGGGGCCGTGTTGTGGCTTCTTGGAACGTCTATTCGGACCTCCCTGGGCCTCCGGGGGGCCTCATGGGCGGAAGACTCGGATTTTTGGTTCGTGTTCCTCCGCTCGGACCCTTCTTGGGGCTGTCTTTGGGCCCTCTTGGGCCGTGTTGGGCGCCTTTGGGGGCCACTCGGGGCCCTCTTGGGGCCCTCCTAGGGGCCTCTTGGGCCATCTTGGGGTGGTCCTGGGGGCCTCGTGGGCCATCTTGGAGCATGCGGAGCTCGAAAGTCGAGGACCCAAAAATCATTGAGACATATATGGGGGATCTATGATTTTGGCCTCTCGGGGCCCTCTTGGGAAGGCTCTTGGGGCTCTCTTGGGGCGTCTCGGCGGCCTCTTGGGTCGCCTTGGGGCCATCCTGGGCGTCTTGGTGCGATCTTGGAGCATGTCGGGGCCCTCCTGGACCGTGTGGGGGGCCCGTCTCGGGGCCCTCTTGGTCCGTCTTGGGACGCTCTTTGGCCCGAACAAGTTTCGCGACAAGCCACCGGGAACCCCAGGGTCACGCGCCAAGGCCTGGGGAAACCAGGAATTCGGGGTCCGGGCCCCTAAAGGAATCCTGAGGATTGAGGACTGAGGCTCATGGCACCGAGGATTGAGGCTCATGGCATTGAGCAAGCGACCTGAGGACGCTCCAACTCGTGCCTCGAGGCACGGTGGTGGATCATGTATCATCACCATCGATGTATTAAGCATGGCTGTTGAACAGTTGGCATGCCTCTCACTTCTATGTGCCTTTCCTGGTTCGTGGGTCGATCATGTCGTGTCGCTATCGGAGGCGGACTGGGGCCCCAGAGCCATCCTCCATGCGCCTTGGGCCATCTGTCACCATCTTGGGTTCTTGAGGCCGTGTTCGGAGCTGCCTGGGGCCGCCGTGGAGGCCTCATGGGCCGTCTGAGCGACGCGGTGGCGTCCTGTGGGGATCTTTGGGCACCCTGGCGCAGCTGGGAGTTTGAGGCCCCCACACCCCCACTCGGGTGTGTTTTTGTTTTGCCGCCTAAGCCATCCCAGGCCCCTCGTAAGCAGTTCTAGGTAACGTTGAGAGACAAGGGGCAACACTCAAACGTCCACACAGGGATTACAATACAGCAGTCCAGCAAAGCACGCCACGAACTTGCGCACCCAAGGGGGCCTCTTCAGGCTCACTCGAGGGCTGTCTACATGTGTTCCTCCCCTTATCCTTCTTGGTCCTCTCCCCATCCTCCTCCGCTTTTCCTTCTTGCTGCCTGCGCGCCCTCTGTCCCG